TGCTAGAGAAAACAATGTACTGTTCTTTATTTGTTCCCCCACCCAGCATCCATTCCTCCTTCCAAAGACAATGGCATTTTGTTTGAGAATCCACCCGTTTCCCGTACTCAGTTACAGGCCCGTTCTAAAGAGTCTAAAGAGAATCCCACCCTCCTTACCTGTGATTGGCTCAGAAATGACCACGTGACTACATTTTGGACCAGCAAGATTAGAGTAGAGAATAGCTAGAGGCTTCTGGGATCCGTTACCTCATTTTTCTGGGAGAGGCTCTAAAGCGGTCTTCTCTTTCTGCTGTGAGTGAGAGATCATGGAGCCCTGGAAGTGGTTCTATAAACGTCATGAAAGCTTTAAAATTAAGCTAACACTGAATGTCAGGGTGGACCCACAGAAAGAACCCGGGTCCTTCGTTCTTTAAGGGACCTTGTGCTGGAGTCATCTCTGAAGGCTGCCCTGCCTTTGGACTTCCAGTTAGGTGAACCTACGCATTTTCTTAATGTTTAAGCCAATTTGCATTCGGTTTCTTGTTAATCGTATCGCAAAGCATCCCAACTGAGTGCCAAGATATTCTTATTATCGTTACTGTATTACCCTGTTTAAGACTCATCTAGAGAAAAGTAATATGCAAAATTATATAGATACTATGATTGCAAACATAATTCAAATAAATAGGAAGATGTGCCAAAATTATATTTACCTCTAGGTGGATTTTTTTCATTTCTATGAACTTGTACTTTACATGTTTTCTACAATGATCCTGAGTGATGTATCAGGGGGAAAATGCACAGAAATAAGACCAGAAGACAAAATGCTTGATAAGATTTTGGAATCTTTTTTTTTTTTTTTTGCCTCTTCTCTCTTTTACAATTTTCTTATAATATGCTTATTATATTCATTTTGTAATTTAAACATTGTTTTATTTCCTTCACTGAAACTTTAAAAAAATAGGGGCTTTTTCTCCTGCTTCCTTTCTCTGTACTTCTAGCATGTACACACAGAGAGGAATACTTACATAGAACAGAAAATATGAAAAGTAAAATCATTCTGGACTTTAAGGCATGCAGAGTAATCCACAAAGAGCAATTGCAATGATCACATCACCCTCCTATATGACCCCAGAGTATTGCATTAACCTGCATTTCTTTTCTTTCAGAGCATTTTTCAGTTTGTAACTGTATACAGGTGTTAATATGTTTATTTGATTAATGCTTGTCCTCTGCTAAGCTTCACAAGATTACTAAAAATAAAAGGAGTCCTTCTTTGCGGCTGTCAGAGCTTTTCAGTTAGATTGAGACACACACATGAGAGAGAGAGAGAGAGAGAGAGAGACAGAAAACATTTGAGGCAAATTACCAGCTCCCCAGGCTTGAACACTAGAGCAGTTTATGAGTTCCCAGGCTTTCATCCAGATTTTTCTGTTACCACATCTATTCCCGAGCCTCCTCTAGGAGTTTGCTAACCAATGTATTGTATCCCTAGTACTGGGCATATGGTAGGCACTCAATAAAAAATTATTTGTTGACTAAAGAATGAATGAGAGAAAAGAATCAGCCAATCTCAGTATTGCTTTTGGGAATAATAGTTTTTGCTTTGGGGAATAATAGAAGGGGCAGACTAATTCTCAGCACTAAAAAACATCATGTCCATCATGTCTCTCTCTGGTAAGTATGGACATAGAAATTATATTTTGAGAGGAAAACAGAAGAATTAGAAAGAGGACTCTAGGTCCGGAGCCTGGGATGTTTTATTTTTTTTAAGAAGGCTAGAAGACAGTTCTATTTAGCAAGGTGGAAGTACACTCTCAGAGAGAGTGAGAGACCTGAGAAGCCAGGACCAGTCTGGGTGTGCATTTTTTAACAAGTGTCCCAGATGATTCTGAATCAGGTGATCTGAGGACCACACTTTGGAAAACAGGCCCTGAAACATACTATTGGACTCTGAGTGTTAACATCGTTCATAGTCATCCAGCTTCCAAGAAAATCATACTGATGTCACTGTGTCTATTTAATCTGAATCAGTCTTTATTTTGCACTTGTGTGGTGCGTTAACAAATTCAACATACAAGATAGCATTACATACTGCAGGTTAGCGTTACAGCATTATGCAATTTCACACAATTCATGTTAGCTTTTTCGGTTCTTTTTTTTTTTTTTTAATTTGATACGTTTATTTTATTTTTGAGTTTCATTTTTACAAGAGAAGACACAAGGTAAAGAAAGACGACCACATCAGAGAAGGGTCATGGTGAGGGCACTGTCACTATCATGGCCATAATAAAAGGCTTCCAAGAAAAAGGACCTGTGTTATTCCCTCTCCTGAGCAAGCCGCCCCTGTCCCACAAACCAGCTGTTTTCACATCTAGAGCACTGTTCATAATCACATACATCTTGGCTGTACTCCACTGAGAACTGAAAGAAGGAAAAACTCATAAAGGGACTCGTGTTATTAAAGAAAACTCTTGTCTTCCCAAAGGAATCAAGATATCAGCAGAGAAGGACTGACTCTTGGAAAATGGAAGTGACCATTCCCTAACCTATTCCTGACCATGAATGCCTTGTGCAGAAGCTAGGATGTGACTCTCTTGTCTTTCAACTGACTCTTAGGAGGAAGAATTCCTCCCCACCCTTATCAGTTAGCTCTGGGAGGAACAAATGTGAAAGCCAAAGTCAGCTAAGAAACTTTGGGACAGCAAAGTCAAGGGCACGATGGAGCAGGCCTGAGGTAGGAGGGAGGAACCCTGTACTGTCTGCCTCTTTGCCTTTTCCTGAGGAAGACACCGAGGCAGCTCCTAGGCTATGGAACTACGGTTCCCCTCTGTGACCTCACCACCCACTGCTCAGCAGACCCAAAGAATGCAAAGAATAAAGCTACAAGGAGATGGGGAAGAGAGGAGTGGGGTGAGGTGGCTTTTCCAGACTTAATGTCAGGAGGAGCTACAGAGGCACACTCAGCAGGCAAAGACCAGGCTCTCTCCACCTGTTGCTTTGCATTGTTTCTGGGAAGGAAACAAAAGCGGTTGCTCAGTGATTTCTAATCTTTAGACATTAAGGCGATGAAGAGGAACCATTTAAATTTTTTCCTAATGGGGCTTCAGAATGCTCCTGTCAGATTTACATTACACTATCTTCAAATGCATTTTTAGAAAACAAAAATTATTTTCTTCTACGTATGATACAGTATTTACATTCCATGGAGTATATAGGATAGAGACTGGTGGTGTGAATCCAACCAATGGATGGTGAGCTAGTGAGTCAGGATTGTGGGGGCGTGGGGGCTGACGGCGACAAGAACACAGAGTGGCCTCTGTGCCTGCTCAGAACTGCTCTGTCTTGTCGAGAATCCAGGTTTAAAAAAACAGCAACAAAAGGGTTGAGGGGAGCCAAGTGATTTTAAATCCATAAGACCTAAGGGAACATTAAAGGCAACATCTCCAGTCTCTCCATGGAGACTCAGAGTTCTGGCTTCCTGCTCAGAAGCAAGTTAGAAAGTGGTGGTCTGTCTGGACATGGACCTTTGGTCTTGGCTAACCTTTCAGGCTTGGTTCAAGCTGCTGGTTATTTGAGTTCCTCTTCTGGCTGGCAAAAATATCTACTGCCTATCTAAGCTTACATATTATCAATGAAGTCTCTGCCATCAGGAAAGTCTCAACATTAAAGATGTGGCTAGACTAGGAGAAAGGAGACATGAACTCTAATTCCAGCAAGAGGCTGAACCTCTGTCAACTCTATTGCCCACCTGCGGAAGCAGAGGTGAACCCTGTGGTTTTCCCATCCCTTCACCTTGTCTTGACACTTGGAAGTTCCAAGAACTGAGCACTTCGTTTTGAGGGAAAGGATGCTCTGAAAGAATCCAACCTACCTTTGTTATTTATTTAGCCACATTTACTCATTTTACTCTGTTATTTTTTAAGAGCCATTATTGAAAAATTTAAGGAGAAAGAATAATCTCTGAAGGCCCTGTTTCTTACGAAGCAAAACCAAACCTCACGTAAGCCACATGAGGAGACTGTAAAGCTTCTCAGTGGTCGGCATTTCTGGGAAAGCAAAGGCCAGTTTAATCCTTCAAACCTTTGATGATTTCTAACCCATCAACCCACAAACGGCTGTGGTTTCCCTATCAAGTTGGAGAGGGGGATGGCAGTCATCTCATGTCCTTGCACCTACAACTGTTTGGGATCAGCTGGATGTGTTCACTGGCACTATCCTAGAACTGAATTTGAAGTCTCCAGAGCTCTTTTTGGAGAAGTCATCTAGTTTTGTAAACCCAGAGTCTACCTAATTAGTCTGATGTGTTCATATGCTTCATCACCAATTAATCACAGACTGTCCTTTACCCCTTCGCAGTAGGAGCGCTGACAGCAAAAGCATCCCATTTCTCTAATACTCTTTCTCCTGAAAACCCTGCCTTTTCCATTCCACCTTTGTTTCTTGGCTTACTGCAGACCTCTGGACCTTGAGCTCAGCCAAAGAGCAGAGATGTGAGAGGTAACAGGAAGAAAAGATGGGGATAATGAAAATACAAAGTTTTACAAGAGCAAAATATTCATCTGCAGAGATGGGGAGTGAGAGTAACTCTCTAGAGAAGCCCAGTAAAAAGAGGCCAATTTCAGGTAATCAGCAAATACAATTCGGCACAAAACACAATTTTCATGGGTTAAAATCTGTAACTTGATATGGGCAGTTAGGCTAATTCCCTCAGTTTGTATTAGACATGCAAGTATAAGGTTACATTGTTATATATAGACTTGTAAGGTCTTTCCCTCTCTTTTTTTCCCCATTAAAAAAAAAAAGAATTTCTAGTGCCTTGCAAAGGAGAAAAATCATCATCACTAAGATCTGATCTGCAGCTCTGTGGTCATGTGGGATGTTCTTTGTGGGGTTTGTTTTGTAAGAAATTTTCTTCTACAACTAAAATGAGGTGTTGAGTCCGCTTTTCTCTGTATCTCTCTCCCGGCCACCACCCTGCCCAACCCAGCCCTGGGATCAGAGGCGAGGAGAACAGGATTAGTACTCGCTCAGACTGTGCCACTTGGCCACCGGCTTGCGGGGGCTCTCGCAGACCTCTCTCCAGTGTTCGGCACCGCTGGCTGTGACACTGTGCGCCCCCAGGATCAGCCTCCCCACCACCTCGTTCTTGGTGGTGCGATCGAAGTCGATGACAAGGAACTCGATGCTGATGTCAGGCAGGAGGTCAGTGGGGATGTCATAGATGAAAGACTCATTGAAGATCGGGTTCAAAGTGCACTTCTTTACATGAGTTTTCTTCTTGGCAATGCGCTTTCTGCCGTAGTAGACGTTCACCTTGACATAAGGATCTAGGATACCCAAAGAGATAAGAAAGAGGGAGACAGGCCTATCACACAGTCCTCTCCTGAATAATGGTGGTTCGTGGTGGGAAGTTGCTTCGGTGGCGACCCCCACATAGTCTTTAGTCATTGCACAATAAATGCACACTGACTATATGTGACTCTGCCTGCCTGGACAAGAGGCTGAGGAAACCAGGCAGGCATAGAACAGAACAAATTCCTCAAGTCAAGTTTGAAGAAACCCTGTGATGCCAAGCAGTATTTTCAAGGATCCAGGGACTAACGAAAGCTTACAGTCTTTCTGAGAAGTCCTAGCTGGAGCAAGGACTCAGCGAGGGCAGGGTACCACTTAGGGCTGCATGCCAAACGTAAAGACCCCATTCGCTCACCCAAAGCGCTCCTCTACCCCGGGAGCTCTGCAACCTAATGATCATCAGGAAGAGAATGGAGACAGAGAGGAACAGGTGCAAGGGGTCTTGGAATGTCGGGGATGCCTGGGGCCACAGTCAAGGGGTTGTTCAGATAGTCAGAAGTAGGTTGAAGTAAATAGCTGCTACCTGAGAGACCGGTGATATCCATCTTCGGCAAGTGTCTGGCTTTGAGGACCACCACTGTCATTCTCTGTGCCACTGGCTGATAGGACAGAGACACCTGGAGCTCCCCTCTGCTAATGCACTTCTGGGAAGAAGAAACCGCAGGTGAGAATCCTGGCACAAGGAGCAGGGCGTGGTGCAGAAAGTGGGCAGAAGGGTGGGAGGAGGGGCCGGAGGAGCGGCCGAGGAATGAGAGGGCTCCATAGAAGGTGCTCATCCCTGGCAAGGATGTTACTGTCACAGTTCACAGGGCAGGGGAGGGGCATGTTCTCATTATAGGCCTGACACTAAATGAAGGCATTTGCATGGAAAGGCAGTGCAGCCTAGTATTTAGGAGCATGGACTCTGAAGCCAGACTGGCCTGGGCTCACATCCGGACCGCTACGTCTTATCTGTCTGACCTAGGACAAGTTACTCAACATCTCTGTACTCCAGTCTTCTCATCTATAAAATGGACATAAAAATAGTACCTATCTCATAGGATTATTCAGAGAATTAAATAAGTTAAAATTTGCAAAACACCACAGTACCTGGCACCTAGTGAGCGCTCTGGAAATACATTCTCTCCGATGCTCTCATGTGGTTCTTGTGATAACAACATTTTGAGGACTGTAGAGTTGGCGGAAGGAAACTTGGTCTTGATTGTTCACCTTGCCATTTACTCACCACCCAGCCTTGGGGAAGTCCCTGAACTTTCTGGAGCCTGTTCTCCCCCTTCACAAGGGGACCGTGTGTGGCTGCTCCGCCTGCCTCCGTGTGGACTGCAGTGTCTTCTCCAGCCAAGCCAGCTTCCTCCCCCATGCCCACATCTTTGCTTCCTCATCCTTCAGTTTTATACTAGGCTCTATTTTGAGTTTAGAAAAAAAGAAAACAAAACTCTAGTCCTCCAAGAACATTTTCAACAATATTTGGTTCCTTAACTAAGTGACAGGTGCTGGAGATCCAGAGCTGAGAGGACTCAGTTCTTGCCCCCAAGGATGACGCAGTAGAAGAGACAGAAGCAAACAAACAGGTACGTGTCAGAGAAGAGGTCTAAGTGCTGCTGGGAGAGTCAGCAAAGACTTTGCCGGCTGACATCTGGGCTGACTTTACGGAGGGGAAGTAAGAGACTAGGAGGCCAAAGGCAGAGAGGACATCATATCAGGGAGAGCAACAGGAATGGCAGGTACAGAGGCATGGGGTCCTGAAAGAATGCTGCGTTCAGAGAATGGTGAGAGGTGAGTGCTGACGTGCGGGGGCCTGGCAGGAGGGATGGGCCAGGAACCTGCAGGGGGCATCGGGCGAGGGTGAAGGGCAGTGGGACACTAACAAAACAGAGTCAGCGCGCAGCCAAGAGGAGGTCTGCAAGCACAGGAGTGACAAGTTTTGGTGGTTGTTACCAGTATTTTATTAATAATATTATTATTCTAGTGAAAGCTGGAGAATGAGCTAAAGTGGAGAAAGACCAAAGTCAGAGAGCTTGGTTAGGCCGACTGCCGCAACAGGCTAAGCAGGGCGTGATGAGGCCAGGAACCAGGGCTACAGCACAGGCGGTGGGCAGGGGTGAGATGGCTCAGCAAGAAATGTCAGCAGCTTCCAGGGCTGGGTGCCCACCTGGATGTAAATGTTGGGGAGAGGGAAGAGACGGACGCCTATTTCTTGAGTTTCTAGCTTAGAAAGTGGGAATAAGGCTGGAACAAGGAAAACAAAAGAAGGTGGGGTTTGAGGAATTTCAGACACAATAAGTTAAATCTGGGACAAAATGGGGCCTCCATTATCAAATCTTTTTGTTTGGATTCTTCATAGCCCCAAAGAAATGTCACCTATTTCGGAATTCTTAGTTTGAGCAGAAACAGACTGTGCTCAGTACTAGCCTTACATAGGCCACATGCCCAACAAAATGACTTACTGTGTACTTACTAAGTGCCAGGTACTCTGCTAGCAGTAAGGGCAGAAAAGATGGCCTGGGAGGGACCCTCCCTCAAGAACCCACAGACTTGTGCACTACCTGCTCAGGTGTATCTGGTGCGGGAAAGAACAACAGAGGTAAATCAATTGGCTCATCAATGAAAAATAAGGAAAAAAACTACTAAGAGTTTGTGCTTTGATTATAAGTCTTAAGTCATCTCAAGGAATAAAACTGTAATAATGGCTTTCACATGGTTTAAAATTTCTCAATGCTGTATTTAATACTGGGAGCATATGGAAATGTTGCTCACAGGGCCTAGAACATGACTGACTAAAATTTAAACCAAGCCTTTAGCTTTTGAAATTCAAGTACAAAAGAGAACAGACTTTTTAAGGATTTTCATGTCCTTTCTCTGCTAGGTAGAAGCCTCACATTTTTTCCTTACCCATAACATACATATTGTCAGCTCTTGATTATATCCATTATACACCCTTAGCTAGCTGGTTGCCCTTGCCAACCAGTATACTTCCGGGCTGCCTCCTTGTGACACGGGTCAGAACGCAGTCAGAGAATGTAAACTCATTCTTACTCTAAGCCACATCCAAATGGCATCAGGAAAGTAAACTGTCATGAAAAGGAAAATCAAATGTCTTCTAAAACACTCAGAACTGAGCTTTCCAGTACAGTAGACACTAGCTACATGTATCTATTAATCTTTTAATTTACTAAAACTAAATAAAATAAAAAATGTAGTTCCCCAATCACACCAGCCATATTTCAAGTGCTCCACAGCCACATGGGGCTACCATACTGGACAGTGCGGACACAAAATATTTCCATGACCATAGAAAGTTCCAGGGGAAGTGATGAACTAGAAAAACTTCTGGATTACTTGGGCTACTGTTGCCCTCTGTTTCCATAAATAATGAAAGCTTAGCTAGATTTACCTACTTCTGGGAACACCCCTGAATACTGGTATATAAATATTAAATATGCAATCTTTAAATATAATTCTAACTTTATATACAGAAGGGTAGGTGGAGTTCAAGGCAAATCAGATTTAAAAAACAAAGAGTTTTATTTGTTAAAATAACACTGACTACAAGATTATATCTTAGGTTCTATGATTATTTGTTTAAAACTCTATTTCCTATATAACCCATTATAGCAAAATCTTCCTAATGTAAATCCCATGCCCCTTCCCTAGTCCTCTGGGAAAGTGGACAACTTCTGGTTACCCTTTTAGTAATTTCTCCCCTAAAACTGCTCCTCAGGCAAGTGTTCTCCACCTGATCCCGGCTTCACCCTTGGCCATTTTGCATGGGCACCATGCCCACCACCATTCAGCTGCCTCTTTGTGATGCCAAGTCTGCAGCCACACCACCACCTGAATGCCATTCCCTTCTGCATTGAAGGCCAGGGTTTCACGTACCCTCAACCCCCTCCCCTTCTTCTTCCACCCAATTCCCATTCCAAGTAGCCTATTGTCAATGGCTTTTTCTCAAGGGCTCTTTGTTAAGGGCTTGGGAGTGAGTTGTGTTTCCCAGCCCCTTGGCCTAGTGAGGCAAAGACCCTGTTGGGGGGCAGGCGAGCAGAAGGACAAGGGGGAGAAAGGGTTTTATCCATGCCTGACAGAGCCGGGAGGCTCTGCTCTCAGAGAACGGGCTCCTTTCTCCCTCAGTGGAAAGGAGGAACCCGGGCAGTGGTCCTAAAGAATTCAGATGAAGGAAATTCTTAGGCAAAGGATACGTCTATTTCCTATAATTAGTAGAGCCCCCTCCAAAGTGGTTTTCTAGTCACAGAGTCTTTGCATGAAGTGGACCTACACATGCTCAATAAGCTTTTATTTATTGAGGCCAGGAGTGCTATGGGCCACCTCCACATAACTCACAGTCACGGGAAAACAAAAGAAATAAAAACCTGAATGTTCAACTCCCTCACCCCTCCCTGTCTTCTCCCCAGTTCACAGACATAACTTTCTTTATTGTTTCTGGGAAACTGACATCCCTTTTTCTTTCTCTCTTTCAATCCCTTTTGGGTAGACTGGATGACCTCTAAGGTCCCTGATAAAGATGAGATTTTAAGAATCCTTTCATTCCCATGACCATTGTCCCAGGTCATCAACTCCAGAGCTGGCAGTGGGAAGACAGGAAATGGTTCGGAAAGCAAAGCCCTGATGACATCAGGAGGAGCCGAACAGCCGAACAACTCTTTATTATCTACTTTGTAAATCACTTCTTTCCCACTGTCTCTTCTGTATCCCCCAGCCCTCTCTGCACCGCCTCCCTTCTCCTTGTGGGGGATTTATTATGGGCTGTAAATTCACTTTAATTTCTATATGAATAAAATACTAGAAAAAAGGATGCCACTAAAAAAAAAATTCAGTTTCAAAATCCTACTCAAGAGATTTTGGGCATTGCAGAGTTTATAGTCTGATCTTTTACTAACAATCAAGGGCTCATTTATAATGCTGCTTCTATCTTTGGGTAGATTCATAGTTGCTGAGAGTGCTCTCCTGTTAACCTTCACCTTCCAGCCTAGAGGGAGACTGAGGCCCTAGCTGGCAACTGTGTGCTGAGCACGGCAGTGAAATGCAGAGCCCAGAACGACGACCAGTCCTCAGCTTCCTCCACTGCACTACAGTGTATAATGCAAAGGACAAGAGATTAATTTTCTGCTAAAAGCCAGAAAATGCAGCAGTCGGGGGTGGGTGGTTGCCTAGAGAAATCCAATTCTCACCCGGGAATCTCTGGAGGAAGATAATTGGACCCCATATTATAAGTAATGTCTTATACAGACAAGAAAAAGCCCTTTACAATGTGGAATAGGCCAGAGCAGCTCTAAGTGATGAGCCAAAGGGAGATCTAGAAAGGGCAGACTCTTGGCCACAGTGGGGAGGCCCTAGCTGCATCCCTAGTGACTCACAGGGGATGAGAGGCCAGGGAGATCACAGCCATGGCTCAGGATGGACCCCGCCCTGCCTGCAGATGCTGGTTGGAGAAAACACACTTGGGATGCCTGGGAGGCTGGAAGACTCTGGTGTTGGGCTGCACAGGCTCTCTGTCCTGCCTGGGCCTCTCCTGAGGGATGTGTGGCTCAGGATCCCAGCCTCGGATTATTCCTCCTGAAGGGAGTTAATAAAGTGGAAAGAAACTTGGCCCCTGCCAGGAGCTCCTGGCAGTGTAGCAAATGCCATTGTCTGCGCTCTCTGCCCAGTGTCCTGGATTTGAGGCTGTTTTGTTCCCAGCCCAAATCAGTCCCTTCCCAGCTGCAGCTTGGCACAGAGCCACCCCTGCTCTCAGCCGTGGACTGTGAGTACGAGAACTGTCTGGAGGAGTCCAGCTAGTTGGTGGCTTTACCAAGGTTGCAGCTATAAGGAGGGATGCTTTGGAAAGGATCCCCCTGCCAGGAGAGCTGTATGAAGGCAGGGAGCAGTGCACTGGAGCTGCTGTTAAGGGCAGTCAGGACACGGGGAGGGAGCTGGCTGAATGCTGAGGAAAAGCGATGGGGAAGCGGAGCGGGGGTCAGGGGGATGAAACAGGTCCCTGCTGCAGTTTCTGGCCATGTCTTTTGATGCTGGTCCCAGAGGTCATGAGAACCCCTGCTGTGATGGACTCTAGGATGTCTCATCATGTCTTGGCATTGGGTCAGCGCTTGTGCCCCGACCAAACACCTCTAACACTCTGCAAAATATTTGGAATTCTCTGTCCCCTGTGAGGAAGAGCTGAGCATGCCACGTGGCAGCCACAGCTCTCTGGGCAACGCGACTGGGCTGGCTGCAGTGGGGCGGGTGCCTATTACACAGCAGAGAAGGTAAGAGCGCCTCTCCAGCAGGAACTGCTCGCTGCTTCTCCACTCCAGCCTGGCACAGCGCTCTTCTTGGCTGGATAAACCTTGTTCACGGGAGTTCAGCGCACACTCAGCCCCTGCCGGCCTGGAAACCTCTTTTGTCCCATCGTGAGCCTCCTGCCTCCCCACTGAGTCCAGCGTGGGTTTGCAGGTGGAAAAGACACAAGAGATAATAGGCACAGGAGATAACGTACAGCCAGAGCTCTTCCTGGGACATGCGCAGTTGTTTTTCGTGGCCCTGATATCCTTCCTGAACTTCCTACCTCCTATTCCACCGGCTCAGTCTTACTCCCTCCCTCGTCTCCCTTCACTTTGTCAAAACAAAATGTAAACATCTGCCAGCCACATACATCTCCCAGAGATCATATTTTATAAATAATAGTACTACTATTACTTGTGGTTAAAATTTACTGGAGGTTCACTATGTACTAGAGACTATGTAAATTCACCATCTTAATTCCTACAAGAAACTGAGACCAAGTTCTCAAGCTGGGGTGCCTAAGGTCAGTTAGCTGGACTAAGGTCAGTTGAACTAGGATTCAAACTCAGGTCTGACTTCAAAGCCCTTGCTATTAACCACTTATGTAGTATCCTAACAAAGGAATGAAACTCTAAGGCTAAAATATCAACAACGTCTTTCCTAGCCCCTCTCATATGTGCGCTATATGGTGATTGCCAAGATTGTTTGTCTTTCTCCTCCACTAAAGTAAAAGCTCCCTAGAGGCAATAATATGCCAGGCATGTTATCTCATTTGATCCTATAAGTGTAAGGAAGGCAAATTATCAGCTCCATTTTACAGATGGGGAAATAGAAGCTCAGAAGGGTTAAGCAATTCACCCATGTCATCCAGCTAGAACGTGGTGAACTGGAACATGAAGTCAGGCAGTCTGATTCCAGAGCCTGAGTGCTTAACCACAGAACTACACTGCCTCCCTAGTTGTGGAAGAAATGAATGACCCAGTGGGAGTGGAGGGGTATATTTCTTGCACCCAAAATTTACAACTCAAGAGCCAGTGCTGGCCCCAGGGGAGAAGGCAGGAGGGAAGGCTCTCATTCCCCTTCTAATGCAAACAAGGAGAGGAAGAATGGAGAGAAGTTTGGGCCAGGGTGACAGGCCTGAAGGGTGAAGGAATTCATTAAACTGCATTTACAAAATGGTTATTAAAAGACATACACATGATATTCTCTACAACCTTAGGTTTTGGTTGGGAAAGGGAAGCTGTGGGTAAAGTTACTGAATTACTTTCATAGGTTCTTAGCCGCGAGAAGGAAGTTCACAGGAGGAAGACCACACATGGCTTTGGAGAAGAAATTAGCCCGAATATTCTTGACATAATGAGAGTCTAGGACTTGGTGGGTTAGCTTGCTCCAAGCAAGCTGGATACAGCATCCGGGTACCAACTGGTAAGTGACGTTTCAGAAGTTCCCTGTCCCTCTCTCCTCAGAAAGTTGCTTCCTGCAGGAGACCTCCTGGGCCAGGCCCTGTCTTCCTTTGACCACTGATTATTCTTGCTAGCAAGAGCCTGCTCCCTGCAGTCCCCCTTTGTCATCCGTCTCACCCCCTTCCCCATCCATTTGTCCCTGAGATCTCCCCTCCCCTGGCCTCCCCTGCCCCCCAGCACACTCTTCCTCCTCACCTGAATGTTCCTTTTGACGATGTCCCTGGTCAGCTGCACCTTGCCTGTGCTGGGGTCCACCCCAGCCAGGGGCACCATGACCTCCCCAATGACGTCGTCCCGAGAGAAGCGGTCGAAGCTGAGGACGAGGAAGTGCAGCACCAGGTCCTGCAGCTGGCTGTACGGGATGCCGTAGAAGGTGAAGGTCTCATCAAACACCGGGTCCAGGGTCTTCCGCAGCACTCTAGTCTTCACCCGATGCCGCTTGTCAGGAAGGATGGTCATTTTGATGTAGGGGTCAGAGCCCTGGGTCTGGTCATCCATCACCGGCAGCCCATGGGCCTCTTGAATTGTCACCACCAGGGCTTTTTTTGGGAAGTTATAGTCCACTGAGAAGGTGAGGGATCCTAGCATGACTTCCTCCTCTGGAGATGATGGAGAAGTGGTTTTGCTCTCCCCGGGGGTCAGGCTTGCAATGGGGCTCCTCAGTTCTTCCCCATAGTCTACTTTGATGGGTAATTGGTCTATACAAGCTCCAGAGCTAGGTCCCCTGGGACCCTTGTCTCGGCCCAGCAGGCCAGCCTCTGCTGCATCCGCCAACAGGTTCCCCCGGCCACCTTCCCTGCCAGGGCCATCTTTGTCTCTCCGCACTTTGATGATTTTCTTCTTGTTGCTGAGGGTCTCTGGGTATATACTGATGCCTTTGAGCATGTGAATAAACTTGTATGGTGGGGTCTTGTGCTTCTTCTCTGCCTGCTGATGGCAGCATGTCCAGACAAAGACAGTCACTGAGACGCACACCACTAGCACGGAGGCCCCGATGAGGCCGGCCACCACTGGTGACACATCTGAAGGTAGAGACCAGAGATGCGTCAAGGCAGGTGGGTCTCAACCCCTGTCGGGAGCTCCCCTGTTTAGTGTCTCTGCTTGGGCCAAGCTAAACTGCACCCTAGCCTCCAAAGCAAAGCTTGCTCATCTGGGCTGATGAACCTCTCCCTGCCTTAGAGATGCTCTCACCCATGCTCTCCAACCAATCCTTGGTTCTTCCATTCTACCAAACCTGGGTGAAATATTTGTCTTCTCCAGAAAGCCTTCGGTGGAGTGCCCTCCCCGCCCTGCTGACTCCCTGGGCCTGTCTTGGACCTCCTCAGCCCTGTGGCTTGGTTTCCTCATATTGACCTGTGTTTAGCATAAAGCTGCCCTGTAAGGGTAATAAGGTTACCTTCTCACACGGGGACCTATCTACCTCAGCTGTCCCACGGGGCACAAGCCAGGTCTGGTTTCAGGAGGCTATTTCTCAGCGACCAGGGCAGGGATGGCAAACAGTGGGCCTGTGTGGACCGGTAGAAGGATGGACGCTGACTTTGGGTAATTTTGATAGGATGGTAGAAGGGGGTCAGTGGTAAAAAGAACTCTGGGTCTAAGCACTTTTAAAATATGTCTGAAATGTCAGCTCCCAAGTATTTAAAATATGAGTATTTGAAATAGGAAGAAATAGGAACTGTGGAAAATGGCAGATCTTTGCTCAAATGTCACCCTCACAGTAAGGTCTTCCCTGACCACCCTATTTAAAAGTGCAACCTTTTCCACCCATGAGACCCAGACTTCTCAGCTCTCCTTGGTTTTCCCCATATGTCCTATCATTCTTTCTCTCTCACACACAGTATATATAGACACACACACACACACACACACATAATTTTACTATTTATTACCCTTACCTATCTTCACTAGAATGTAAGTGTCATGAGGACAGGGATTTTGTGTTTGTTCATTTCTGTATCCCTAGCACTAAAAACACATATAGGTAATTAATATATATTTGTTGAATGAACAAAAGAGAAACAGATTTTTTTCTTCCCTTTCCTAGTCTTGTCTTTTCCCACACAAGTTGGGCCCCTGACTTAAACAACCAGCGTTTTTTTTTTCCCCCTCATTAAGTTCCCTGAAATCAAATTGGGTTTAGGCCTTAAAAGTCTAGATAAGGCTGCTGGTTTTACACATTACGTTTCAGGGAAAGACTTGGGTAGGGCAGGGAGAACTAAGGAAATAAATGTGATTCCAGCATGTTCCAGATTCTTCCTGGAACATCCTTCTGCCAGACATCTGCCCAGCTCACTGCCTCACTCACTGCAGGCCTCTGTTAAACCCTCACCTTATCAGAGAAGCATTTCCTGATTGCCTCAAGTAAGATAATATCTCCATTGCCCTGCTTTGTTTTCTTTATAGCACTTATTTCCCCTGACACATATTTATTTGCCTGTGTTACCTCACTAGATAAGCTTAATAAGAAGAATGACTGTTAACTGCTCTATCCCCAGGTCTTAGAACCATGTGGCACACAGTGAGTGTTTTTTTGAACAAATAAGAGTGAATTCAAAACATCCTCTACGGATTGGATAAAAGAGGATGAAGTCAACATGATTACATATATCAGGGATAAATGTATAATTCTATTTGGCCTTTAAAGCCTATTGTTAGGCAATGAATGGGAATCTAGAAAGGGCAGACTCTTGGCCACAGTGGGGAGGCCCTAGCTGCATCCCTAGTGACTCACAGGGGATGAGAGGCCAGGGAGATCACAGCCATGGCTCAGGATGGACCCCGCCCTGCCCGCAGATGCTGGTTGGAGAAAACACACTTGGGATGCCTGGGAGGCTGGAAGACTCTGGTGTTGGGCTGCACAGGCTCTCTGTCCTGCCTGGGCCTCTCCTGAGGGATGTGTGGCTCAGGATCCCAGCCTCGGATTATTCCTCCTGAAGGGAGTTAATAAAGTGGAAAGAAACTTGGCCCCTGCCAGGAGCTCCTGGCAGTGTAGCAAATGCCATTGTCTGCGCTCTCTGCCCAGTGTCCTGGATTTGAGGCTGTTTTGTTCCCAGCCCAAATCAGTCCCTTCCCAGCTGCAGCTTGGCACAGAGCCACCCCTGCTCTCAGCCGTGGACTGTGAGTACGAGAACTGTCTGGAGGAGTCCAGCTAGTTGGTGGCTTTACCAAGGTTGCAGCTATAAGGAGGGATGCTTTGGAAAGGATCCCCCTGCCAGGAGAGCTGTATGAAGGCAGGGAGCAGTGCACTGGAGCTGCTGTTAAGGGCAGTCAGGACACGGGGAGGGAGCTGGCTGAATGCTGAGGAAAAGCGATGGGGAAGCGGAGCGGGGGTCAGGGGGATGAAACAGGTCCCTGCTGCAGTTTCTGGCCATGTCTTTTGATGCTGGTCCCAGAGGTCATGAGAACCCCTGCTGTGATGGACTCTAGGATGTCTCATCATGTCTTGGCATTGGGTCAGCGCTTGTGCCCCGACCAAACACCTCTAACACTCTGCAAAATATTTGGAATTCTCTGTCCCCTGTGAGGAAGAGCTGAGCATGCCACGTGGCAGCCACAGCTCTCTGGGCAACGCGACTGGGCTGGCTGCAGTGGGGCGGGTGCCTATTACACAGCAGAGAAGGTAAGAGCGCCTCTCCAGCAGGAACTGCTCGCTGCTTCTCCACTCCAGCCTGGCACAGCGCTCTTCTTGGCTGGATAAACCTTGTTCACGGGAGTTCAGCGCACACTCAGCCCCTGCCGGCCTGGAAACCTCTTTTGTCCCATCGTGAGCCTCCTGCCTCCCCACTGAGTCCAGCGTGGGTTTGCAGGTGGAAAAGACACAAGAGATAATAGGCACAGGAGATAACGTACAGCCAGAGCTCTTCCTGGGACATGCGCAGTTGTTTTTCGTGGCCCTGATATCCTTCCTGAACTTCCTACCTCCTATTCCACCGGCTCAGTCTTACTCCCTCCCTCGTCTCCCTTCACTTTGTCAAAACAAAATGTAAACATCTGCCAGCCACATACATCTCCCAGAGATCATATTTTATAAATAATAGTACTACTATTACTTGTGGTTAAAATTTACTGGAGGTTCACTATGTACTAGAGACTATGTAAATTCACCATCTTAATTCCTACAAGAAACTGAGACCAAGTTCTCAAGCTGGGGTGCCTAAGGTCAGTTAGCTGGACTAAGGTCAGTTGAACTAGGATTCAAACTCAGGTCTGACTTCAAAGCCCTTGCTATTAACCACTTATGTAGTATCCTAACAAAGGAATGAAACTCTAAGGCTAAAATATCAACAACGTCTTTCCTAGCCCCTCTCATATGTGCGCTATATGGTGATTGCCAAGATTGTTTGTCTTTCTCCTCCACTAAAGTAAAAGCTCCCTAGAGGCAATAATATGCCAGGCATGTTATCTCATTTGATCCTATAAGTGTAAGGAAGGCAAATTATCAGCTCCATTTTACAGATGGGGAAATAGAAGCTCAGAAGGGTTAAGCAATTCACCCATGTCATCCAGCTAGAACGTGGTGAACTGGAACATGAAGTCAGGCAGTCTGATTCCAGAGCCTGAGTGCTTAACCACAGAACTACACTGCCTCCCTAGTTGTGGAAGAAATGAATGACCCAGTGGGAGTGGAGGGGTATATTTCTTGCACCCAAAATTTACAACTCAAGAGCCAGTGCTGGCCCCAGGGGAGAAGGCAGGAGGGAAGGCTCTCATTCCCCTTCTAATGCAAACAAGGAGAGGAAGAATGGAGAGAAGTTTGGGCCAGGGTGACAGGCCTGAAGGGTGAAGGAATTCATTAAACTGCATTTACAAAATGGTTATTAAAAGACATACACATGATATTCTCTACAACCTTAGGTTTTGGTTGGGAAAGGGAAGCTGTGGGTAAAGTTACTGAATTACTTTCATAGGTTCTTAGCCGCGAGAAGGAAGTTCACAGGAGGAAGACCACACATGGCTTTGGAGAAGAAATTAGCCCGAATATTCTTGACATAATGAGAGTCTAGGACTTGGTGGGTTAGCTTGCTCCAAGCAAGCTGGATACAGCATCCGGGTACCAACTGGTAAGTGACGTTTCAGAAGTTCCCTGTCCCTCTCTCCTCAGAAAGTTGCTTCCTGCAGGAGACCTCCTGGGCCAGGCCCTGTCTTCCTTTGACCACTGATTATTCTTGCTAGCAAGAGCCTGCTCCCTGCAGTCCCCCTTTGTCATCCGTCTCACCCCCTTCCCCATCCATTTGTCCCTGAGATCTCCCCTCCCCTGGCCTCCCCTGCCCCCCAGCACACTCTTCCTCCTCACCTGAATGTTCCTTTTGACGATGTCCCTGGTCAGCTGCACCTTGCCTGTGCTGGGGTCCACCCCAGCCAGGGGCACCATGACCTCCCCAATGACGTCGTCCCGAGAGAAGCGGTCGAAGCTGAGGACGAGGAAGTGCAGCACCAGGTCCTGCAGCTGGCTGTACGGGATGCCGTAGAAGGTGAAGGTCTCATCAAACACCGGGTCCAGGGTCTTCCGCAGCACTCTAGTCTTCACCCGATGCCGCTTGTCAGGAAGGATGGTCATTTTGATGTAGGGGTCAGAGCCCTGGGTCTGGTCATCCATCACCGGCAGCCCATGGGCCTCTTGAATTGTCACCACCAGGGCTTTTTTTGGGAAGTTATAGTCCACTGAGAAGGTGAGGGATCCTAGCATGACTTCCTCCTCTGGAGATGATGGAGAAGTGGTTTTGCTCTCCCCGGGGGTCAGGCTTGCAATGGGGCTCCTCAGTTCTTCCCCATAGTCTACTTTGATGGGTAATTGGTCTATACAAGCTCCAGAGCTAGGTCCCCTGGGACCCTTGTCTCGGCCCAGCAGGCCAGCCTCTGCTGCATCCGCCAACAGGTTCCCCCGGCCACCTTCCCTGCCAGGGCCATCTTTGTCTCTCCGCACTTTGATGATTTTCTTCTTGTTGCTGAGGGTCTCTGGGTATATACTGATGCCTTTGAGCATGTGAATAAACTTGTATGGTGGGGTCTTGTGCTTCTTCTCTGCCTGCTGATGGCAGCATGTCCAGACAAAGACAGTCACTGAGACGCACACCACTAGCACGGAGGCCCCGATGAGGCCGGCCACCACTGGTGACACATCTGAAGGTAGAGACCAGAGATGCGTCAAGGCAGGTGGGTCTCAACCCCTGTCGGGAGCTCCCCTGTTTAGTGTCTCTGCTTGGGCCAAGCTAAACTGCACCCTAGCCTCCAAAGCAAAGCTTGCTCATCTGGGCTGATGAACCTCTCCCTGCCTTAGAGATGCTCTCACCCATGCTCTCCAACCAATCCTTGGTTCTTCCATTCTACCAAACCTGGGTGAAATATTTGTCTTCTCCAGAAAGCCTTCGGTGGAGTGCCCTCCCCGCCCTGCTGACTCCCTGGGCCTGTCTTGGACCTCCTCAGCCCTGTGGCTTGGTTTCCTCATATTGACCTGTGTTTAGCATAAAGCTGCCCTGTAAGGGTAATAAGGTTACCTTCTCACACGGGGACCTATCTACCTCAGCTGTCCCACGGGGCACAAGCCAGGTCTGGTTTCAGGAGGCTATTTCTCAGCGACCAGGGCAGGGATGGCAAACAGTGGGCCTGTGTGGACCGGTAGAAGGATGGACGCTGACTTTGGGTAATTTTGATAGGATGGTAGAAGGGGGTCAGTGGTAAAAAGAACTCTGGGTCTAAGCACTTTTAAAATATGTCTGAAATGTCAGCTCCCAAGTATTTAAAATATGAGTATTTGAAATAGGAAGAAATAGGAACTGTGGAAAATGGCAGATCTTTGCTCAAATGTCACCCTCACAGTAAGGTCTTCCCTGACCACCCTATTTAAAAGTGCAACCTTTTCCACCCATGAGACCCAGACTTCTCAGCTCTCCTTGGTTTTCCCCATATGTCCTATCATTCTTTCTCTCTCACACACAGTATATATAGACACACACACACACACACACACATAATTTTACTATTTATTACCCTTACCTATCTTCACTAGAATGTAAGTGTCATGAGGACAGGGATTTTGTGTTTGTTCATTTCTGTATCCCTAGCACTAAAAACACATATAGGTAATTAATATATATTTGTTGAATGAACAAAAGAGAAACAGATTTTTTTCTTCCCTTTCCTAGTCTTGTCTTTTCCCACACAAGTTGGGCCCCTGACTTAAACAACCAGCGTTTTTTTTTCCCCCTCATTAAGTTCCCTGAAATCAAATTGGGTTTAGGCCTTAAAAGTCTAGATAAGGCTGCTGGTTTTACACATTACGTTTCAGGGAAAGACTTGGGTAGGGCAGGGAGAACTAAGGAAATAAATGTGATTCCAGCATGTTCCAGATTCTTCCTGGAACATCCTTCTGCCAGACATCTGCCCAGCTCACTGCCTCACTCACTGCAGGCCTCTGTTAAACCCTCACCTTATCAGAGAAGCATTTCCTGATTGCCTCAAGTAAGATAATATCTCCATTGCCCTGCTTTGTTTTCTTTATAGCACTTATTTCCCCTGACACATATTTATTTGCCTGTGTTACCTCACTAGATAAGCTTAATAAGAAGAATGACTGTTAACTGCTCTATCCCCAGGTCTTAGAACCATGTGGCACACAGTGAGTGTTTTTTTGAACAAATAAGAGTGAATTCAAAACATCCTCTACGGATTGGATAAAAGAGGATGAAGTCAACATGATTACATATATCAGGGATAAATGTATAATTCTATTTGGCCTTTAAAGCCTATTGTTAGGCAATGAATGGGAGACTTTACTTGACAAATTTGAGTAAAAATAACTTAGCAGTTTAGGTGACCACAAGCTTGGAGTATAATTAGGCTGATGCCAACTTATATGATGAGTACAATGTCCAGATCACAGGAGAGGTAGTATAATTTTATCTGCTCTGGTCCTAACACATGTGGAGTGTACTGTCTAGCACTGACAAGAATAAAAACTTATTTTTTTGTGTCCACTTATTATGTCCCTGTCAGGCACTGTTCTGCAGCCTTCTCTTTTTGAATCAAAGAACTCACTGAATAGGTAGCATTAGTATCCCCACTTCACAATTGAGGAACCTGGGGTTTCAAATCTTCCCTAGGCCATGGTGGTGATGGGATTTAAAGCCTGGTCTGCCTGACACCAGAGTGTATCTACATTCTGGATAATTAGGAGAGTAAAAGACCTGGAAACAATATTAACTGAGGAAAATTAGAAGGAACTGGAGCTGAGGGGTCTAGGAATAATAACTTTCTTCAACTATTTAAGGCATTTTGATGGCAGGTCTGATTTGTTTTTACTTTGGAAGGCAGGGCTAGCACCAGAGCGTACAGGCTACAAGAAGACAGATTTGAGTCAATGAAAAGAGTCAAATTATTATTAGACTTGCCTCGCAATGGCCCAGATTGCTTCATGAGACAGTGAATATCCAATTGGAAACTCTGAAATAGAGATTGGATCACCACTGGTCAGGCTTATTCTAAATGGGATTTCTTCAATGGGGACTGGACTAAATATCTCTGAAGTCTTTTCCATTTCAAACATTCCATGGTTCTGTGAAGGCTGGGACAGGTAAGAAGTGAAGGGGTTACATTTTAAAACAATACAGATAAAGAGTAAAGCCATTAACAAAATAAATCAAGGTGACCATGTCCACTGTCAGAGTATTAAGTGAGATAAAAACTATTAGGGAGAAGTTTCACAAAAAAGGAGCAGCCTTGGTGGTAAGCTCCTTGTGAGCAGGAAGATATAACATCCTGTTCATCTTCGACTCCCTGAGTCTCCTGCATCTAATAGAAGCTTAGTAAATATTTGTTTGAATAATTGGTTAGATTCAATTGTCAATCAGAATGGGCACAATCTGAAAAAGTGGCTCTCCATTCACCAGTCAGGAACTTCCTCAAAAATTGCTAGCACTGATTAGTGAAGCTGGACATTGATTAACTCTAGGAGAAGAGGAAATCAAGGAACTATCAAGACAGGCATATTTTAAAGAATGATTTGACAGGGATATCTAAAGGCCCAGATTAGGAGATATCTTAGTGCTCTTTCTGGGTTTTCCACAGATATACTCTGTGATTCTGAGGGAGCACACTATTGCTTACAATGCCTCCAATTTTGCTGTTAGAAAATGAAGATGGGGTAGGTAAGAGAGATGATAACAGAATATTACCTTTCAGGAAGATAGAGAAGGAAAAGAAGAGAAACAGATGAATCCGTTTGTGGATTGGCTAAGTGCTCTTCTCTACTTTCGCCCTTTCTTGTCATTTGAGCATGTTCCTCCGCCCCAGACCCAAGGCAGTGAGTTGAAAAAATCTCAGAGATGTTGAAACTCAGAATCTGTCTTCCTTTAGTCAAAAACTTGGTGGGAAAAGGAAGTTGGAACTAATAGCTGAAGTGAGCGTTTTTAAGTCTTAAATTGCAGTGACCCATGCTGCTCGCTTCTTTGGTCCTCCAAGTTCATGGACAATTGAGTGTTGGCTTGGTGTAGCTCCCAAGGGCTATGGCATTTGGAATGAAGTACTCTATAAGATGTGAAAAAGTCAGAAGTGGCAGTTCTTTATGTAGGAGACCCTCTGCATGGGGCTATGCTTAACCTTCTCGCCCTTTGACCAGACCTGCTTATTAACAATTCCTTTACTAACATAGCCTTTCCCTATCGAGTAGGCCAGTGTGATACAGTGAAATGAGAATTAACTTTGGCGCTTACTGGACATTGGTTTAAGGTCTATCACTATCCTCACTAGTTTACTTGACCTTAGCAAAGTTGCTTTATCTCCCTGAGCCTCAGTTTCCTCATCTGGAAAATATATATAACAATGACTACACTGGAGGATATTTATAAGGATTAAATAAAATGTAGTATCTAAAAGGCTGATACAATTTATTTTCTCATTTTCACTAATTCCCTCTAAAGAATGTCACTATATTATGTACCACATCATGTAACTTTCCAAGGAATCTCAAACTGCAGTTAGAGAATATGTTGGGAAGAAGGCATAAGAAGAAATAGAAAGAGTAGGAAGAAAATCATGGGGTGCTCATGTGGTCACAACAGGGAACATATATTTTGGAAATTCAGGATTCAAAGAATAGAGATGCAGAAGGTGAAGTGGAATAAAGAAATACAATAAAGATTTAGCCTTGGGGAGTCAGTGGGAACAAATAGTTAATGGCTGTAATCTGCTGTCTGGACGCTTTCCCTGACCTGATGTCTTCTTCCTGGTATGGAAGGGACAGAGCACACTGGGTTCTGCTCATGTCCATAAACCTCTTACTCCGGAGTGAGAAAAGCCATTTCCTAGTTGGACTGTAGCCCCACCCTAAACACTGGAGTCTGGATGCTCAAATCTGCACTGTCTGAGGGATAGAATCTCTTGAGGGATATGAAGGAACCCTAGGCTGCCAGGAACTCTTACTGGCTTCTCCCATCCGAACTGGGGTAGAATTCAGAAAGAAGCAGGGCAGTTATTTATGATTTTTAGATCAGAAAAGCACAGCACAGAAGTTTGCTACCCTAGCATATTTTGGAGGAATCCCCAAAGAGGAAAACACTTGCTTCTCGAGCTTTCCTTTCCTGTCTTCTCTATTTTCCACTCCACTTTCTGCTACAGGGAGTGTAAGTGATCTTGGGGCCCACAGCGCTGGGTAGGGGACCGGCGGCTCAGAGATGACGTAATGCTTTCTTTGGTACACAAAGCGGCCTCCCCCGGGCTCGGCCTCTCTCGCCCCTCCCCCTCCGGCCTTGCTCGGGCCCCCGCCAGCACCAGCGCGGGTGAGTCCCCTTTTTTGAAAAGCCAGCCCAGGGACAGGAACAAAGGCCCGAGAAGAGGAGCCTAGACGTTGCCAGGTGGCCCAGAAATAGACATCACGTCATCCCCCGGCCCAGCAGCGCCCAGCGCCATTTGGTAGCATCGGAGGACCCCACCATTACGATGCAGAATAGAACTTGCTGGGCTCACGTTTCCTCCCAGCCCCAGCGTCCAGCTGACCGGCTTAAGGAGTGGCTTCCTTTTGGCTCCCCACCCCCGCACCCCTCTTTCCCCAGAGGCCGTCGCTTCCCCTGGCTGCCAGCCACACAGCCCACAGTCTCCAAGCTGCCATCTTGAGGCCCCATCCCCCTTGCCACCTCCCTCCCCCGCAGCCCTGAGGAGTGGGAGGGGGAGGAAAGGGCACCGCCCTGCGTGCCCCAAGGGGCAGGGTTCGGCCTACCCACCTCCTCCCCCAGAAGGAGGGGTTCATGTCCTCCGCAAGCTCGCTGTTTCTCACCTCCATCAGTGCTGACAGTGCACCATACAAGGTTTTAGCATCCTGGATCTCCCCACCCTCTGTGTGGCTCTGGTCTTCCAGTCCCTGCAGCCCGTAGCTCAAGTTTAGGCGCTGCGCACAGCCCGCGACCCACCAACACAGGCCCCCTTCTAGCGGGGCTGGCAATTGAAGGCCCTAGTCTGGGCTTAACTCCCTGCCCAGCCAGCCACTGGGTTCCCTTGGTTTTGCAACGGTTTCCACCAGGCTCAGTTTGCCCGACTCTACTTACCAAAGCTGGGTCGGATATTGGTGATCTCAGCCATGTCGTAATCAGAGACTATTGCTATAAATGTTTTCTCAATGTTCAGACAACTCTGGGAACCCCGGGTTAGTACCGAGGCCGCCGCTGCAGCGCGCTAGGTCAGGGGAGGGGGAAGATATCTGGCGGACGCCTCCTGCGACGGTCTGGTCACTGGTTGCCAGCTGCGGTCGCCTCTTAAGATGCTCCAGGGATGCTCTGAGCTAAGGATGCAGGTGCAGCCAGACTGGTCCTGATGAGAGGTAGGCCCCGCCTTCCTCCGAACGGCCTCGGGGAAAGACTCCGCCTATGTCCGAAAAGTGCCGGAAGTTAGGCCCCTCCCCTTTCCGGAAGGCCTCCCTTGGCCTAAATTTCCTACAATAAGACCCCGCCCACTGACGGCTGTGGGTTTATAAGGCGAAAACTCGAGGCCTGAGTAAGGAGAAGTGTCGGTACATCATCGCATGAGAATCTGTAGATCCTGTGATTCTGGTTCCCTGGGCTTAATGTAGCAGCAGAAGGAGTGGGAGGGAGGTGAGAGGGAGTACAGGATTTTGGAAAAACAAAATTATATCCTGCCTGTATTCCAGTATCAGTTGCCATTACTGTTACTCATTTCTGAGACCCTAAAGGTTATTATGGAAATTTTCTTAAACTGCAGAAGCACTGATTAAAGACCAAACCTGGTGATGGTAGTATAACCCTGAAAATTTACTGAAAATAATTTAACTGTACTAGTAAAACGGATGAATTATAAATTAAAGCTGTTAAAAAAAAAAGACTAATAAAGAGTACCAATGTTAATCAGTGTTGGATATTTCTCTTCCAAAAGCTAAAAGTGTTTTAGGACTGCATAGGAAAGTGAGAGAGAGAGAGAGAGAGTGAGCGAGCAAACCAACAGATCTATATATTCTGTAGGTTCAAAAGCAGGATGCAAATGAAGCTCCAAGCTTCTGGAGACTTCTTTGGCATTTGGAAGAGTTAGGGTGATTCAGGTTAGAGTCAGACTACTGGCGGTTTTCTTCATGATTACATCAATTTCACCCTTCCTTTAGGCTGTGGGTACTTTCATCCTGTCAGATTCTATTTACAGACAGGTTCAGCTCGAACAGATTGTTTTAATGCATAGATATTTGTTGTTGATTCACCTTTAAATAAGTAGAATGTACTTTTTCAATTTTTGACATTCTGTTCTTCTAGAAAAGTGCTAAGAACATGATTTTAGGAATCAGTCATTCATTCAAAACATATGTGGTGAGATCATCGACTTAGCCCCAGACACATGCCTGGGCACTGGATCAATGCAGTAGGAGCTAAGTTTAGGATACTTGATTCCCTTTGATAGCTGTGTATCTTTGTGAAAACACCTACCCAGCTGAGCCAGAAATTTGTCTTGTGTAAATTGGAAGGTACAGTAATATCCATTGCCCCATCGGGCTTATTGTGAAGATCAAATCACCTATAATAGCGTGAAAGCATTTTGTTGAATGCGGAGTATTAAACAGATATAAATAATTACTATGGATTGAGTCCAAGACTGCCTTAGCTTTATTCAGGAAACTGCACCATTTATAATCCAGAGATTTCTCTTTCTGAAATGTTATGAATTCCCCATTTCCTTGGTTCCATATTCAAGGTGTCTCGCGGGGAGAAGGATTCGCTGTCAAACTAAATACTGAATCTAAAACGCCAGATTTGTTTCGGGGAGGACAGCTCAACGCACAGAGAAAGCGAGGAATTGCCTTTAAATTTTTTTGCCAACAATTGACGTACAGCGCTGAGGCTTCAGGCCGCCCTAAAATAGGATGGCGTCTAGCGCTTGGCGCATGCTCCTTGGCACCCTGGCGCCGCGCGCCACGACTCGGGGGCGCGCACGTCAGTCGCTGCCGTTGGCTGACTTCCGGCGGCACAGAGGCTGAGTCTCCGCGGCATCAGGCAGGCTGGTGAGAATAGTGGGTCGTGCGCAATGGGCCGGGAGGAGGCAGGTGGGAGGTGGACGTTCGGCCGAAGGATGTCCAGGCTGAGGGGTTAGAATCTGAGGGGTGGCGCGAGGTGCGTGTCGGAAGGTAAGGGTGTGAAGATATCTAGCTGGGAGCCGGGACTTGGGCCGGCGCTCGGCACTGAGGTGAAAAGCGCAGTTAGAATTCCTTTTTGAAATTTTTTCCCCTGAAGGATTCCGCGGTGGGGCTGCCTACGGATTCGCATTTATTCACCACCTTGTTGGTCTGACTGCAGTTCCAAAGGTGTGGGGGGCGCTCACTAGGGCTACTGCTGTGTTTAAAGTGCCTGGAGCCGATTCCTGCACGCTGCTGAACGCTGCTGACTGAATAGTAGCTGGCTTCTTTCCTTTCTTTAATTTTCTGGACCTCCTTACTTTTAATCTGTGAAATATCGGGCTCGCCTAAGCCACGCCCACTCCACTTCTTACCCACTTAGCACTCTCCTCCCTCCCAGGGATCAACGGAGTCTTCACGTGCTTATTGAACTTTAATTACCAAAATAAGGTCATCAGTTGATTTTGGGGTAGTGGGGCGTCTCACCTAGTGTCCTGGAGAAACTGAATTAGGTTTAAAACTAACCGTATTGTTCAGACTCTTAGAGTTAGAAAAAAAACTTTAATTTTGAGAGCATTTAGTCCAAGCTTTCATTTAGTGCATTCATAGCTGGGCCTTCAGACTTTGCTTGAACACTGTTAGTGATGAAGAACTCACTGAAACACAAGGCAACTAGTTGAAAGACTCATATCCCCCCCCCCAAAAAAAACACATGTTTTTTGGGGAGGAGGATGAGAAAGGAGACAGACAAGAGGCAATCACAAAAGTGATAAGTTCTATAGAAGAGGTTTGCAAACAGGTGCTGTAAGAACATAAAAGAAGAGACCCTCCAGTTTATGTTAGTGTTGCCCTTAAAATATGAAAACTGGAATTGAAGCCAAGAGTCCAGAAGTAACATACTGCATAGAACAGTAGGAATCTCTATCATGTTTCCAACACAAAATTTCTGTTAATATAGCCTAACCCTTTTAAACAATGACACTTTACTTTTGGATTGTTTCTGTTACTGGAAATACTTTTTTATGAAAACAGCAAAAGCAAACATTTATTGGCCTAACAAATAATATCTAATGACTTAGGTGCTATTTTTATTTCATTTTATAGCTGAAGAAACTGAGATTCAGATTAAGTAACTTATACAAGGTCACACAGCTGGAGAGAAGCTGACTTGGGAAACAAATCCAGACAGTTTGACTCCACAGTTTGCTCTCAGCTTCATGCTATTCTACCTCCCTGGTAGTAATAAGAATAACTAACACTTACTAATCACTATTTAATTCTTATAACAATTCTTTGAGGTAAGAACAATTACTATTTTTTATAGTTGAAGACATTGAAGTTTAGAGAGGTTAAATCACTTAGCCAAGATAACATACTAATCAGTAGAGTTAGGATTTGAACTCAAGCACTCTCTAAATGCTGCCTCTCATCTCCCACCTAATGGGAGATTGTGCATTTGGTGTAAAGTACTGTCAGGACTGAACATAAATAAGTGAAAAGATAGTGGAGGAAATGTTATCATTAATGAAGGTGATAAGAACTTGCTTTTATCCTTTCAGGATGGAACAAAAGTGGGACTTTTAAAATGTTGCCCTGTAAGAAGAGAAGAACTACAGTGACAGAGTCCCCACAGCATCAGGGCAACCAGGAGGAAGATGACTTAGACCTAGAGGCAGCTGGTAAACCAGAATCTCACCAGGTTAAAGACTTGGGGTCAGTGTCACTATCCTGGGGTCTAAGTCATGGCAGAGCAGCTGGTCTTGAAGTACAATCTATGCAGGATGCAGAAAATCAGCTTGGTATAGAGGATCCATCTTCAGACTCTAGGGTACTCACCCAGGACACAAATGTACCCGTTCTAGAAGCTGTTGATGTGCCCACCTCTCAGGGAATCACCCTACCTTCCTTGGAGTCTTCCCAGCCCCTTAATATACTCTTTGGTAAAGGAAAACTCCAGGCCACTGGCCCAAGGAGAGGGAAGAAAATAACAGTCAGGCCTGGGCCAGTTACCCAAGAAGACAGAGGTGATGACCCTATCACAAAGGAGCCTTTTTCAGGAGAGCCTAGTGAAGAAGTGAAGGATGAAGGAGGTAAGATACGAAAGGTCTTTAGGCTGCATTTTCCTTGTCAATTCCACTTTGCCACTGTACTCCCTGCAGTACCTTTACAAAATACTGTTTCTGAAAGGGGATACTGATTTGGACTGCGGTGCTCTTAAGGGTTAGCAGTGAACTTCATTAGCAGGTGAAGACTTCCTTCTCCCCCTTCGTCCGCCACCCCCGAATTACCTAGATCCTTTCCTTTCTTGTATCAGTTCATGTCTGGAGGGATGAACAGTGTGTGGTCATTTGTGATCTGCTGGGTATCCATGAAGTGGTGCCGGTGGAGGCAGAGGCATAAAAGGATGTGACATAGTTGCTTGGAAGAAGTGGTGGGGGAGGACTTCAGAGTAGTAGATTGTGTTTAGATTGTGAAGGGCTAGGGCTTTCTTCCTGCTCAAGTGTTTGTACTTTTCAGGTATATGGTAGCCAAGTAAATAAGCAGAAGGCTAGTTCTAACCTTAGGAACCTTATAATCTAGTTGGAAATAAGACATAAACTCATAATTCCTTTGGAGCAATTTAAGACAATACTAAGTGTTAGAGTGTGTTACAGATAATTAGGATTTTTGCATTTGGAGCTTGATGGATTGATAGGATTCAGTAGATTGTGGGGAAGCAGTGGAAGTAGAATAGCTTATGCTGTGAACAGATCCTTATGCTGTTGAAGTGCTTGTTTGGGGGGGAGTGTAACAGGGCTCCAGATGGAAAGTGTAGATTTAGACTATACAGAGCCTTGCCATTATCTCCTTGGGACCTTAGAAAGGATTGGAATAGGATGTTGGCAATAAGAATAGAGAAGAAAAGTATATCTTGGAGACATTAAAAAGAAAGAGTTAAGATTTCTCAGAGACTGCTACCAAGGTAGGTAGTATTTGTGACATGAAGACAGGAGGAACTAGAGGGAAATACAAGATAAAGGTGCTAGAGAAAGAATGGATAATTAAGTAGGGGTTCAGAGTCACTCACATTGAGGAGTAGAATCTAGAGATGTTTTTAATAGTTACAGACATCCAAGTGTGGACAAATAAAATAAACATCTGTTGTTCAGGATTATCTTTAATACCACTTCTCTTCCTGAAGCCAAATAATTAAAGTTGTTTCTACCATCTTGTACTTTAATAAGCTGCACATAGAAGTAATACCAGTAAAAGAAGTATGGGTGTCTTATCTAGAATCCTTTTTTTTTCTCCAAGTGACTTTTTTTTTCTTTTGCTAAATAGAAATGTAGCATACAAAACAGAATGGAAGAAAGATGAAGATTGAAAATTCATATATATCATTTTGGAAATTACTGAAAAGTTTAAAGAAAATAATCATCCGTAATCTTACTATGCAGAGTAATTACCATTAAAATCTAGTGCATATTCTTTTTGTTGTTTTGTTTTATTTTAAGTAACATTTTAGTTTCCTGATTAGGATGATGTAGAAAAAAATCTGGGTCAATTTGAAGTGTAGTCGTCCCCCCCTTATTTGCAGTTTCCCTTTCTGTGGTTTTGGTTACTTGCGGTCAGCTGTGAAGCAGATTATGCTGACAATATGTCAGAAGGTCTGTGGTAGCTTACTGCTACGTCATTGTTCTGTTTTCTTATTTATTGTTAATGTCCTACTGTGCCTAACCTATAAAACTATCATAGGTATGTATGTATAGGAAAAAACATAATATATATAGGGTTTGGTACTGTCCGCCTTTTCAGGCATCCATGGGGGTCTTGGAACATATTCTGTGTGGATAAGGTGGGGGGGCTCCTTAATCAGCATATGATATACACTTTTACAATTGTTACACTGTTAAGTCATGATAACACTGCTAAGTCATGTTTCTAGACTGCAGGTGCTAGTGATTAAAACCTTTCTCTGTACTGGTATTTATTCCAGTGGAATTTTTTTATTATTATGGTATCATTGATATACACTTTCATGAAGATTTCACATGAAAACCAATATGGTTACTACATTCACCCATATTATCGAGTCCCTCTCCTCCATACCCCATTGCAGTCTATTCCAGTGGAATTTAAAAAAAATTTTTTTATAAGGTATGATTGATATACACTCTTATGAAGGTTTCACATGAAAAAACAATGTGGTTACTACATTTACCCATATTATCAAGTCCCCACCCATACCCCAATGCAGGCACTGTCCATAGGTGTAGTAAGATGTAACAGATCCACTATGTGCCTTCTCTATGCTACACTGTTCTCCCAGTGATCCCCCACACCATGTGTACTAAACATAATAACCCTCAATCCCCTTCTCCCTCCCTCCCCACCAGCCCTCCCACACACCTCCCCTTTGGTAACCACTAGTTCCTTCTTGGAGTCTCTGAGTCTGCTGCCTCCAGTGGAATTTTAATGGTTCTTTTAAAATTGATTTACATACCCTAATTCCTACTTTTACTCTTTTTTTTCTTTGCCTTCTAAAAATGATTAACTTAGGTAGATTTCAGCTTATAATTGGTTGGTACAGTTATCAGCTAATTATTTTCATGTTATCGACTTAGAGTTCTTAGGCAGTAAACAAGTTACAGATAATGCTCTGAAGTAAGGCCTTTCCTTCTCTGTCTCTCACCCACCTGACTTTTTCTTTCTAAAGTCTTTCAGCATCTAACACATTGATAGAGGAAAGGAAGAGTGGGGTCCTAAGAGGTCCTTTGAGAGGGGAATTAAATTGAGAAGCAATGTAATAGGGTCAAAGAAAAAGGGTTGCAGAGAGTAGGTGTAGTTGATAAACTGTAGAGGCAGTTTTAGAGTAGTTCCAAATATGTTTTAAGTAGTAAAAGTGTCGATGGAAGCTACCTACCAAAGTGAGCTGCTATATTTTGCTTAGATTGTTTAAAAAAGTCATTTGTGTCAGTTCAATTTTTAAAATGTTAGACATCATTCTAAAAATTATTAAAGGTTGTTGATTAAATGAGAAAATGATGTGCTATTGACTGAAGTTCCCTCTTAAAAGAAATTTGGCTGGGAGGAACTTTTGATTTGAAGGTTTTAGGGTTCAATTTCTTGTACAGTTAAAGCGAAAGCCTTCAGGCTTTTTTGACACTGTGAAGTAATCATAGGCTCCAGAAGTAAAGAAAGTAAGTTAGAGACTGAATACCATTAAGGATTTATTCATGCTTCATTTTTAAATTAAGGCTTTTTTCCTTTGCTGGTAGTTTGTCCGATTTAAAATCATGTTTATGCTGGTTGAAACTGCTAATGCTGATGAGATAGCAGTTCTGTAAAGTGTGAAGGCTAAATATTTTTCATGGAGCTCAGTGCCAAATAACTCGATAGCTTTTTTTTTTATTACAGTATCATTGATATATACTCTTACGAAGGTTTCATGAGAAAAACAGTGGGGTTATTATATTCACCCTGTTATCGAGTCCCCCCCATACCCCACTCAGTCACTGTCCATCAGTGTAGTAAGGTACCACAGAGCCTCTGTTTGTCTTCTCTGAGCTACACTGTCTTCTCCGTGACTCCACACACACCATGTGCACCAATCATGATACCCGATAATCCCCTTCTCCCTCTTTTCCCACTCATCCTCCCCCACCCCTCCCCTTTGGTAACCACTAGTCCCGTTTTGGAGTCTGTGAGTCTGCTTCTATTTTGTTCCTTCAGTTTTCCTTCATTGTTATACTCCACAAATGAGGGAAATCATTTGGTATTTGTCTTTCTCTGCCTGACTTATTTCACTGAATATAATACCCTCTAGCTCCGTCTATGTTCTTGCAAATGGTAGGATTTATTTCTTTCTTATGGCTGAATAGTATTCCGTTGTGCATATGTACCACATCTTTTTCCATTCATCTATTGATGGACACTTAGGTTGCTTCCATTTCTTGGCTATTGTAAATAGTGCTGCGATGAACATAGGGGTGTATTTGTCTTTTTGAATCTGAGAACTTGATAACTTTTTGAAAAAAATTTTTACTATGTAATATGCAAACATGGAAGAAATTCATAAACATGGAAAGTACACAATGAAAAGTTAGGTACCCTTTCACTCTGTTCTCTTGTTACCAAGTTCTCAGAAGCAATCACTGTTTAACAATTCTTTGTATATATTCTATAGATATTTTGTGTATACACAAGCCTATGTATTATTTTTCCCATGATAACTTGATTCTAATGCTTACTTTTGAAGTTGAATGAATGTTTCTTTGCCTTTCTAATGCCTCCCCACCCCCAAGACATAGCACTCACTAAAGTAAGTTGAGGTGAGAAAGGAGAAAGTTGTTTAATAAACTGTAAAACTGTGTATTTATAATCTCATGGTGATTTTTACTCTAATGCTCTGTGAAATTGATTGACAGTCAAAGTTTAGGGTATTTTATAATGTATATAATTTATAGTTAATTGAATGTGTTGTTAATGGTCATCTTTATAAAATGTCCTTTTGTTATCGGGCATATACCCCTCACCCTACAATTATGAATCTGATTTTTCCATAGGAAGAAAGTACACAGCATGTATTAGAACTAGAAAGACCTTAGCAATTATATAGTTTAGTCCCTGACATTACAGATGAGTATTGAATCTTAGCTTTGATTTTTAGTATTTTTTTCTTAGGACACTGTGTTTGAGAGGAATGCTGATATAGTATATGCATCATTAATGAAGTTATTAACTAAAAAGGATTTTATAATAAGATGCTGATGTCTATAACAGAGTATAATTGAGAATGAGCAAAGTATGGAGTAATATTTGTGATTCTCCCAGGAAAACCTCAAATGTTTTGTGGAGGGGAGATGCCTTCACTGCCATCAGGCAGCCATTCTGCAAAACCAGGATCCCAGCCTAAGAATGCATCTCAGCCAGATGTTTGTGCCTCTCCTCAAGAAAAGCCACTCAGGACTCTAGCACACCAAGCTGAGGAAGAGGTAGAGGATGGTGGACTCTTCATTCCAATGGGTAGGCTTTCTTTTTTCTTTCTATTAAAATCCCTCTTTATTAAAGTATATGCCAAAAACTGCACATAGGTCCGAAGATACTCAGGTCACTGAATTTTCAAAAATTGACTACACCGCCAACAGGTAACCAGCAACCAGATCAAGAAATAAAATATTACCAATAGTCAGAAGTCCTCCCTTTCAGTTGATTATTATCAGCACCCCACCCACTGGCAAACATTATCCTGATTTCTAGCAATATAGATTGGTTCACCTATTTTGTACTTTATATGAATGGAATCATACATGTATGTTTTGTGGCTGCATTTTTCCACTCAACATCGTTTATTAAATTGATGCATATTGTTGCATATACTTGTAGATAGGTCATTGTCATTGCTGTATAGTATTTTGTTATTTGACTATTCAACATTTTCTTTATTCATTCAACTCCTAATGGGCATTTGGAGAATTTTCCAGTTATAGGCCACTCTTGATGGTGTCACCTGTTGATCTTTTGGTGAATATATACACTTAATTTTCATGGGGTGAAATTGCTATATTACCTGGTTAGGGCTCCTTAAAATTTTTTTGAAACATATTTTTTATTGTGAATTATAACACATACAAACAAGTGAGTAAAGATTTCTTTAGGCAGCTTAAGAAGTGGTTTTAAAGTGAACACCTATTAATTTTTTGTCTTATTGCAAATCCTAGACCTCCATTACTATGTGGGTGAGAAGTAGTGATAGTGACATTTATGTCTTGTTTCTGAACTTGGGGGAAAGTGTTCAGTATTCTTCTGTTATGTATGATGATAGTTATAGGCTTTTCATAAATTGTGGTGTCAGATTAAGGAAATTATTTTTGTACTTCTCTGAGAGTTTTATCATACATTGAATTTTGTCAAAAATTTTTTTATCTCTGTTATGATGATCATATGGTTTTTCTCCTTTATTCTGTTATTGTGGAGTACCATTGATTTTTATTTTTTTTATTATTTTTTTTTAGGAGAGCAAGGTGCAGGCTTTTATTTAGAAATAATGACTAAATAGAAATGTAGCATACAAAACAGAATGGAAGAAAGATGAAGATTGAAAATTCATATATATCATTTTGGAAATTACTGAAAAGTTTAAAGAAAATAATCATCCGTAATCTTACTATGCAGAGTAATTACCATTAAAATCTAGTGCATATTCTTTTTGTTGTTTTGTTTTATTTTAAGTAACATTTTAGTTTCCTGATTAGGATGATGTAGAAAAAAATCTGGGTCAATTTGAAGTGTAGTCGTCCCCCCCTTATTTGCAGTTTCCCTTTCTGTGGTTTTGGTTACTTGCGGTCAGCTGTGAAGCAGATTATGCTGACAATATGTCAGAAGGTCTGTGGTAGCTTACTGCTACGTCATTGTTCTGTTTTCTTATTTATTGTTAATGTCCTACTGTGCCTAACCTATAAAACTATCATAGGTATGTATGTATAGGAAAAAACATAATATATATAGGGTTTGGTACTGTCCGCCTTTTCAGGCATCCATGGGGGTCTTGGAACATATTCTGTGTGGATAAGGTGGGGGGGCTCCTTAATCAGCATATGATATACACTTTTACAATTGTTACACTGTTAAGTCATGATAACACTGCTAAGTCATGTTTCTAGACTGCAGGTGCTAGTGATTAAAACCTTTCTCTGTACTGGTATTTATTCCAGTGGAATTTTTTTATTATTATGGTATCATTGATATACACTTTCATGAAGATTTCACATGAAAACCAATATGGTTACTACATTCACCCATATTATCGAGTCCCTCTCCTCCATACCCCATTGCAGTCTATTCCAGTGGAATTTAAAAAAAATTTTTTTATAAGGTATGATTGATATACACTCTTATGAAGGTTTCACATGAAAAAACAATGTGGTTACTACATTTACCCATATTATCAAGTCCCCACCCATACCCCAATGCAGGCACTGTCCATAGGTGTAGTAAGATGTAACAGATCCACTATGTGCCTTCTCTATGCTACACTGTTCTCCCAGTGATCCCCCACACCATGTGTACTAAACATAATAACCCTCAATCCCCTTCTCCCTCCCTCCCCACCAGCCCTCCCACACACCTCCCCTTTGGTAACCACTAGTTCCTTCTTGGAGTCTCTGAGTCTGCTGCCTCCAGTGGAATTTTAATGGTTCTTTTAAAATTGATTTACATACCCTAATTCCTACTTTTACTCTTTTTTTTCTTTGCCTTCTAAAAATGATTAACTTAGGTAGATTTCAGCTTATAATTGGTTGGTACAGTTATCAGCTAATTATTTTCATGTTATCGACTTAGAGTTCTTAGGCAGTAAACAAGTTACAGATAATGCTCTGAAGTAAGGCCTTTCCTTCTCTGTCTCTCACCCACCTGACTTTTTCTTTCTAAAGTCTTTCAGCATCTAACACATTGATAGAGGAAAGGAAGAGTGGGGTCCTAAGAGGTCCTTTGAGAGGGGAATTAAATTGAGAAGCAATGTAATAGGGTCAAAGAAAAAGGGTTGCAGAGAGTAGGTGTAGTTGATAAACTGTAGAGGCAGTTTTAGAGTAGTTCCAAATATGTTTTAAGTAGTAAAAGTGTCGATGGAAGCTACCTACCAAAGTGAGCTGCTATATTTTGCTTAGATTGTTTAAAAAAGTCATTTGTGTCAGTTCAATTTTTAAAATGTTAGACATCATTCTAAAAATTATTAAAGGTTGTTGATTAAATGAGAAAATGATGTGCTATTGACTGAAGTTCCCTCTTAAAAGAAATTTGGCTGGGAGGAACTTTTGATTTGAAGGTTTTAGGGTTCAATTTCTTGTACAGTTAAAGCGAAAGCCTTCAGGCTTTTTTGACACTGTGAAGTAATCATAGGCTCCAGAAGTAAAGAAAGTAAGTTAGAGACTGAATACCATTAAGGATTTATTCATGCTTCATTTTTAAATTAAGGCTTTTTTCCTTTGCTGGTAGTTTGTCCGATTTAAAATCATGTTTATGCTGGTTGAAACTGCTAATGCTGATGAGATAGCAGTTCTGTAAAGTGTGAAGGCTAAATATTTTTCATGGAGCTCAGTGCCAAATAACTCGATAGCTTTTTTTTTTATTACAGTATCATTGATATATACTCTTACGAAGGTTTCATGAGAAAAACAGTGGGGTTATTATATTCACCCTGTTATCGAGTCCCCCCCATACCCCACTCAGTCACTGTCCATCAGTGTAGTAAGGTACCACAGAGCCTCTGTTTGTCTTCTCTGAGCTACACTGTCTTCTCCGTGACTCCACACACACCATGTGCACCAATCATGATACCCGATAATCCCCTTCTCCCTCTTTTCCCACTCATCCTCCCCCACCCCTCCCCTTTGGTAACCACTAGTCCCGTTTTGGAGTCTGTGAGTCTGCTTCTATTTTGTTCCTTCAGTTTTCCTTCATTGTTATACTCCACAAATGAGGGAAATCATTTGGTATTTGTCTTTCTCTGCCTGACTTATTTCACTGAACATAATACCCTCTAGCTCCGTCTATGTTCTTGCAAATGGTAGGATTTATTTCTTTCTTATGGCTGAATAGTATTCCGTTGTGCATATGTACCACATCTTTTTCCATTCATCTATTGATGGACACTTAGGTTGCTTCCATTTCTTGGCTATTGTAAATAGTGCTGCGATGAACATAGGGGTGTATTTGTCTTTTTGAATCTGAGAACTTGATAACTTTTTGAAAAAAATTTTTACTATGTAATATGCAAACATGGAAGAAATTCATAAACATGGAAAGTACACAATGAAAAGTTAGGTACCCTTTCACTCTGTTCTCTTGTTACCAAGTTCTCAGAAGCAATCACTGTTTAACAATTCTTTGTATATATTCTATAGATATTTTGTGTATACACAAGCCTATGTATTATTTTTCCCATGATAACTTGATTCTAATGCTTACTTTTGAAGTTGAATGAATGTTTCTTTGCCTTTCTAATGCCTCCCCACCCCCAAGACATAGCACTCACTAAAGTAAGTTGAGGTGAGAAAGGAGAAAGTTGTTTAATAAACTGTAAAACTGTGTATTTATAATCTCATGGTGATTTTTACTCTAATGCTCTGTGAAATTGATTGACAGTCAAAGTTTAGGGTATTTTATAATGTATATAATTTATAGTTAATTGAATGTGTTGTTAATGGTCATCTTTATAAAATGTCCTTTTGTTATCGGGCATATACCCCTCACCCTACAATTATGAATCTGATTTTTCCATAGGAAGAAAGTACACAGCATGTATTAGAACTAGAAAGACCTTAGCAATTATATAGTTTAGTCCCTGACATTACAGATGAGTATTGAATCTTAGCTTTGATTTTTAGTATTTTTTTCTTAGGACACTGTGTTTGAGAGGAATGCTGATATAGTATATGCATCATTAATGAAGTTATTAACTAAAAAGGATTTTATAATAAGATGCTGATGTCTATAACAGAGTATAATTGAGAATGAGCAAAGTATGGAGTAATATTTGTGATTCTCCCAGGAAAACCTCAAATGTTTTGTGGAGGGGAGATGCCTTCACTGCCATCAGGCAGCCATTCTGCAAAACCAGGATCCCAGCCTAAGAATGCATCTCAGCCAGATGTTTGTGCCTCTCCTCAAGAAAAGCCACTCAGGACTCTAGCACACCAAGCTGAGGAAGAGGTAGAGGATGGTGGACTCTTCATTCCAATGGGTAGGCTTTCTTTTTTCTTTCTATTAAAATCCCTCTTTATTAAAGTATATGCCAAAAACTGCACATAGGTCCGAAGATACTCAGGTCACTGAATTTTCAAAAATTGACTACACCGCCAACAGGTAACCAGCAACCAGATCAAGAAATAAAATATTACCAATAGTCAGAAGTCCTCCCTTTCAGTTGATTATTATCAGCACCCCACCCACTGGCAAACATTATCCTGATTTCTAGCAATATAGATTGGTTCACCTATTTTGTACTTTATATGAATGGAATCATA